TAAACATGCATTTCTAAGAAAAGAATGGGAACAAGGATTATATACAGAAGAAAAATAATGTGTCATATCATATAGTAATTGTAAAAACTGCATATATTTTTCACAATTAACCCAATCATCTTCTAGTAAAGCACATTGTGGAAAATTTCATATTATAAAAAAGTGTTAAATGAATCTTGTACTCGATTGCCCGACTCAACATTTCATAGGTGGAGTTCCACCTAGTTGGACAATCCGGTGCTATTTTTATGGTCTTTATTCGTTGTTGCCTGCAAAAACCTTTCCATTCTTGATATTTCAAGTTAGAGCTATTAATAGACATAATTGCATTCCTTATTTTGTGATAAAATGGACCAATTGCTTGTGTTCCATCTTTCACACACAAGTTAAGAGCATGACAAATGCATCTAACATGAAGTGCATCTCCATCTAATAATACATCGATCAATTGGGATTTGACCAAATTCGCACTATATGTCATAGAAGTTGCATTATCGAAAGTCATAGACATGATTTTATCCCTAAGACTATATGCATCAATGGCTTCCATTAAATGATGTGAAATATTAAGACCGGTATGAGGGTATTCAAGCATTTTGAACTGAATAATGCGTTTTTGTAACAACCAATCATTATCTAACCAATGACAAGTAACACATAAATAGTGAAGTCCGTATCCAACATCCCATGCATCGGCGGTTAAAGAAACTCTACTAGGAAGATTAGCCAATTCATTTACTAATTTCAATTTGTACTCTAGATAATTCTTCATGGCAGCAGATTGAACGGTTTTTCGGGAGATTTTTTTGTGTTTTGGTTGTAGTGCTCGGTTAATATAGTTGTTGAAGGCATCATTTTCGGCGAAAAGAAATGGTTATTCAACATGTACAATCATTCTCCCAAGTTCATCCCTATCTCTCTCGTAATTGTAAATGAAGCCTTGGGGATGGAATTGAGAAATTTTGGGTTGGGTTGGATCATTATATGGTCCACCATATTTTTTTTAATGTCTACTAAGGTGTCCCGTCCCTCCCTTGGTATCGGTCGAGAAAATTTTACCACAAGTCCGACACCGGGCTTTGGTTCCATTTTTACTTAATTGATAATGTGCCCAAACTTCACTCTTTCGGTTGGTTTAAGCAAATTCCTCTTCGGTACACCACTCTAATATGTTAGGATTTTGGGTGTTAGGAATTTGGTGGATTGTTCACTCGACCCGGAGCCTTGTGTTTGGCTACCTTGGGTATTAGGAATTGAAAATTCATGTTGTGATCCGTATAAATGAGGTGAGAATTGTGTTCGTCGAAATCCCGAACTAGGGAGTGTTTGTAAAGTGCATGTTAGGGGAGTGAAAGGGCATGTTAGGCACGGGAACGGTGTTAGGGGGGCCATTAAAGTGTTTGGGTTTGATGATTCTCTACGTTTTGACTTGGCTTTTCTAGAGGAGGAGGAAATGTTTGGGTTTGATGCCATGATATTTAATAATAATAACAACAATAATAATACAAATAACAATAACATATTAAAAATAACAATAATAATAACAATTAACAACAATAATAATAACAATAGCAATAAGAATTAGTAAGTAGTTTTTATACAAATTAAGTTTTCAAAAATAATTGTAATAATAATAGATTACTTAGGTCAATGAGATCCTAGGTAGGAGAGGTTAGGAACGACGTTGTCCAGAGCCCAAGTCCCACCTTAAACAGATTTCACTAACAATCTAAATTATCCACAATAAAAATAGAAAGTAGTTTTTATATAATTAAGTTGTTCCAAGAAAACAATAATAATAATAACAATGACAATAACAATAACAATAACAATAACAATAACAATAACAATAACAATAACAATAACAATAACAATAACAATAACAATAACAATAACAATAACAATAACAATAACAACAACAATAACAATAACAAATTAAAATAAAGTTGAGTTAGATCTTACAATGACGCTTCAATGCTTTCCCAAATTTATAATTTCCCGAACTTATAATTTCCCGAATTTATAATTTCCCGAATGAAAATATAACATTTCTTTTTTGTAGTAGACTGATAAAAGAAATAATATTAAAAATGTAAAATTTATAAAAGAGTAGGAATTTTTTTTTCTTTTCACAAAAGAGAGTAAGATTGTAGCCTTTGTAGGAATTGGAGAGTAAGAAAATTAGAGAATAAGAGAGAAGAGATGAGTTGATGAACTGTGGAAATTTGGAGGAAGAAATGGGGTATTTATTGGGAATTTGGGTAGGTTCCAAAAACTAGTCGTTATTATAGCTGTTGGAAAACGGCTCTATAAACGTTATTTTCCAATGGCTATGGCACAGGCCGGGCCGTACCTGGCGGGCCTCGTGCCGTGCCGACAGGTCGTTCCGGCGTGCTGGTCCACGTGCCAGACACCGTGCCGCTCGCCGTGCCACGGGTCGTGCCCGTGCCAAAATCCAAAATTCTGATCACGGCACGGCCCACAGGTGGGCCGCCGTGCCATGCCTTACCGGGCCGTGCCAGGCGCGTGCCGCCAGCGTGCTGGCACGGCCCGTGCCCATCTTTAGCGCCATCCTTGTACTAATCCATCCGCTAGAGTGATGAGCTTCGAAGGGTCAAAGTTCTCGCTTTGCAGGACTGTTTGGATGAGCGAGGAATTATCCTCTACATATCTCGGCTCATCTTTTTCTCGCCCAAATAGTAGTCCCATGACATTAAAGTCAAAGCTTGGGGGTGCTTTCTCCTTAATCATACCTTTGAAGCGTGAATTCCACGTAGCAATTTGATTGACAAATGAGGGAGAGAATAGAGCCCCAAGCATTGCTCCTCTACTTAGTCCACGAGATTCGAACGAGCCGTCCACCAATACTAGATTGGTTGAGTGATTGAAGAAAACCAAGATCACCACCTTTAATGGACTAACCGACCACCCACGATCCACCACTACCACGAACCACCACACTGGCGCCAGGGAGGGGATTGAGAGCCGTGAGAGAGAGAGGAATATGAGAGGGGTTGATCTCGTGTTTGCTAATTTGGGTATGATCTTACTGATCACTGAATGACTTGCTGCATACCCTAGGCACCTAGTCTATTTATAATCACATTATAATTATACTAGGGTTAGGAAGCCCAAACCCTCAAACCTACTCTACATGGCCAGCCATACTAGAGGACGAGGCCCATGATGGGCCTTGTCCTCTCGTGCCCGATCTAGACCCTTTGTGTGACCTTATAGGATCCGTCCAATTGGGCTTTGGGCTATTTTACTAACCCAAAGATCGGTAGTACCTCTAGCTATGATAAAACGACGACCCAAATGTACGAACTTAATTATCTCCATAATTTGATCCATTGATATATCTAGTAATTGCACACGACAAAGACATAAATCCTTCAGGCGCTGCCCACCAAATCTAGATCAAATGACCTAGAGAGGGCACCTTTCCCAATGACCGTATAAATAGGGAGATATCCCCCATTTTTTGGGGCACATTTAATCATTTATTACACCTACCCTACATTCTCTTACATAAGGGAACACCTGATTTTAGAATCCGAGAAGATCTCACTTTAATTTCAACACCTTTTCCTATTCTCGCTCAAGTACTAACTTGATCATCAGAGGCGGAGCTCTAACCACTCGGAGTCTCTATTGTTTTACAGGTACAGGCCGCGTTCAACCAGTCTTCGAGCTGTAACTCTCCCGAGGAACAAAAACTGTAACACCCCCAAATTACTCTCTAATATTTAACAATGCTAATCCAACCTTAGGGAGTAATGTGGGAGTATTACCGCATGATTACGTAAGGCTTAACAGAGTTTTGTAGCGGAAAAACAGTACTTATCTTTTATTAATAATAATAGTAATAATAATAGTTTGATACACTTTCAAAGTAGCTACACCACTAATACTATGTTTACTAAATTAAACTAGGTGATCACCGCCCATCATTCCCAATGTAGCATACAGTTCACGTTGTCCGATCGCCATCACCTATCTACTTATCGAAATGATAAGTAGGGCCAAGCCAAAACAAAACAAATACGTATTAGCCAAAATAGTAATAGTAGTTGAGAGTAGTAGTAGTAGTAGTAGTAGTATTAGTAGTACTTAGTAGTAGTACTAAAATGAGGAATATATGGCTTACTTACGGTGAGTAACGCAAGGAAGGAGATGGAAACAAGGTGGTGGTCGAATTGCGGCGATATGATGGCAGCGAGGAGGTGCTCGTGAGGAGCTCAAGACCACAAATGAAAGCTAAAAGGAGGTGAATATGGGGGAGGAAGGAGAAAGGAGAAGGAAAGTAAGAAGAAAAGTAGGAGATGTGATTAAAATAGCTCATGTTCCATGGCTATTTATAGCCCCAAATCAGGAACTATTCCAACCGATTTCATAAATGCTGCCAACCCAATTAATGCAGCCAACCTAATAAATGTTGTTTGCCTAATAAATGCAGCTGGCCCAATAAATGTTGCTGACCCAATAAATGTAACCGGCCTAATAAATGTTGTGAATATGAGTAGTATTAATATAAGGGTTGATTTTGATTACGGAAGGAGGAATAATTTGGTACTTGTTAGTTTCACTGGGAAGCAAAATACTGGAGGTTGAAATTCCGACAAATTTGAGTTGACTCATATAATTATAAAGCATAATAAAATTATATCTTTGTAAAATCATATATGGACTTAAATAGATATATTTTTTTGTATAATAAAATATTTCGAAAAAATCCATAATTAATAATTAGTAAACGACTTAAAAATACGGGGTATTACAGTCTACCCCCCTTAAAAGAAGTTTCGACCTCGAAACTTGAGTATAAAGTTGGTTAAATATTTCAAGTTAGTACAAATTGATTCATGCACAACTTATATTGACTCAGAAAAACTCTAACTATGACTCTGGCACAATGCATAACTACTCCAAATGTCTCTAAAACTAACCAAAAAGGGCAAAAGCGCGAAACTCTATCGCATTCTACCCCCTTAAAGGAGTTACGCCCCCATAACTCGACTACAGACCTCAGAAAACAACGCTGGGTATCTTTTCCTCATATCTGCTTCGACTTCCCAAGTAGCTTCCTTGGTTTTATGGTTTGACCATAGAACCTTGACTATCTTAACATCCTTGTTCCTAGTGCTTCTCACTTTACTATCCAAAATCTTCACAGGTCTTTCTTCATAAGTCAAGTTTTCGTCCATCTTGATGGTTTCAGGGTGTAAAACATGAGAAACATCTGGTATGTATTTCCGAATTTGGCGCACATGGAACACATTGTGAACTCTTTCTAGCTCATTAGGAAAATCCAACTTGTATGCTACTTTTCCCACCTTTTGGATTATCTCGTACGGTCCAATGTACTTCAAGCTTAACTTTCCTCTTTTCCCAAACCTCATCTCTCCCTTCATCGGAGATATTTTCAATAAAACTTTCTCACCTACTTCATATTCCTCATCCCTCCTCTTCAAATCTGAATAATTCTTTTGACGATCTTGTGCAGATTTAATTTTCTCTTGAATCATCTTTACTTGTTTCACCGTCTCTTCGATCATCTCTGGCCCGAGTGTAACTGTCTCACTTATGTCGTTCCAACATATCAGGCTTCTATACTTTCACCCATACAAAGCCTCAAATGGTGCCATCCCAATACTTGCATGATAACTGTTGTTGTAGGGAAACTATATTAAGTATAAATGATCTTCCCATGAACCATGGTACTCCATAACACATGATCTCAACATATCCTCTAATGTATGTATTGTTCTCTCTATTTGACCATCGGATGTGGGGTGGAATTCAGTGCTCATCAACAACTTAGTCCCCATAGTCTTTTTTAAACTCTGCCAGAAGTTGGATAAGAACCTTGAGTCTCTATCCGAGATGATATCCTTCGGCACACCATGGTATTTCACCACAAATATAACATACGCTATTCCCAATTGGTCCATCGACCATGTACTCCTCATGGGTATGAACATTGCACACTTCGTTAGTCGATCCACTATGACCCAAATTGTATCATTTCCTGCTCGTGTCTTTGGCAAAGCTCCTATGAAATCTACAAAGATCGAATCCCACTTCCATCTAGGCACCTCCATGGATTGAACTTTTCCTTGGGGTCTGTTGTGCTCGATTTTGACCTTTTGACAAGTCAAACATCTAGCCACAAATTCTGCCACTTCCCTTTTCATATTCGGCCACCAGAATGTCTTTTTCATGTCCTTATACAACTTATCCCCTTCGGGATGCATTGAATAAGGAGAGCTATGAGCTTCCTCCATCAACCTTTGCTTCAAATCACCTCGATTATGTGGAACACACCATCTCCCTTTAAACCCCATGCTTCCATCATCGGCTATAGCAAAGTCCAATATTTGCCCTTCCTCGATCTTTTCTTTAATTTTGTTCAAATTCTCTTCCCCAGGCTGACTTTCTCGAATCTCATCATAAATCGACGGTTTTCTCAACAAGGCACCCAAAATTTTCTTTACCTCTTCTTGTTCAAATACTTCCAAATTCATCTTTTGTAACTCCACACATAATTGATCTGGTAGGGTCATCGCATTAACTGCATGACTTGACTTCCTACTTAATGCATCAGCTACAACATTAGCCTTCCCTTCATGATACTGAATCTCTAAGTCGTAATCCTTAATCAACTCCAACCATTGTCGTTGTCTCATGTTCAACTCCTTTTGAGTGAATATATACTTCAAACTCTTGTGATCGGTGAAAATCCTACATGTCACTTCGTACAAGTAGTGTCTCCAAATCTTCAATGCAAATAAAATTGCGGCTAACTCCAAGTCATGGGTCGGGTAATTCACCTCATGGAATATAAAAATTCCTAAAATACTATCAATCTTAATGCAATTCGAAATTTAATTCGAATCTTTATATTCTAAAACAAAGTTTGGACGTTTGCTTAGTCCATATGCACATAATTCACGTAAAGTTCGAAATCATTTTGAATACGTTTCAAACTCTTTAATTTCGGAAATATTATATGTATATATATAGTTATAAGTTGAATATTTGATTCATAATGTGGATTAATTGGACCAATCAGATCCCAGGTAGGAGAGGTTAGGGACGACGTTGCCCTGAGCCCAAGTCCTGCCTAGCCAGAGCTCATTGCCAATCCAATAATCCCCACTATTAATCTTTCTTCATATTAAAGTGGAAAGTAGTTTTTACTTAAATATATACTTTCAGAAAACAAATGCAAAACTCTATCTTATATGCCCTTCTTAGGTCTACCCATCAGTTTTATATTCCAATTTTTATCTTTTTTTAAGACCCGAAAACTGATACCACTTTGTAACACCCCCAAATTACTCTCTAATATTTAACAATGCTAATCCAACTTTAGAGATTAATGAGGGAGTATTTCCGCCACGTGATTAGGTAAGGCTTAACAGAGTTTTGTAGCAGAAAACAGTCCTTATCTTTTATTAATAATAATAGTAATAATAATAGTTTGATACACTTTCAAAGTAGCTACACCACTAATACTATGTTTACTAAATTAAACTAGGTGATCACCGCCCATCATTCCCAATGCAGCATATAGTTCACGTTGTCCGATCGCCATCACTTATCTAGTAGGGCCAAGCCAAAACAAAACAAATACATATTAGCCAAAATGCTAAGTACATACAAATGCTAGACATGTAAAATCAATTTAATTAATTAAACATTCTTTTGAAGAGATTTAACTTTGATAAATCATAATTTATCCAAATCATTCCTGAATAGAAATTCATGTATAAAAACCTGTCAAAAGAACCAATTTTCGAAATAACCAACTTTCCAAAGATAATTCCGAATAGGATGGATCAGTCCATATTTTCATAAATCGTTTTTCCATCTAAGTGTGCACACCTCCAAGCTAGTAACTCCTTTACATAGTGCTATCAAGGGGAAATACTAGGTCATACAAAGTCCATAGTCTTCAACTTACTCCGCATAGTGGGAGTTCAAAATCTAAATATCCAAGGAGTAAATCCTGTTAAATAAATTTTTCAATATCCCATACTCGGGATAATTTAAACAATAAAACTTCCTTTTTAAAACATCTTGAATCTCAGTACAAGTTTATAATCGACCATATGAAATATTGAAACATTAGAGATCAAACACTTAAAACATGTTTCTCCAAAATATATTTTACAATCATTTAAACATGGTTCAAAATCAATTAACATGTAAATCACGTTGCATATAAAAGTCACTTTTAAAAGATCTAGACACTTTTACGTACCTTGATCCTTGCACACAAGTACAGATTTCCTAATTTTGAGCCCGAAATTCCTTCTATAACAAACCAATAATCCTAATCAAATACTTTTCAACCCATAGACACAAGGACTTAGACTATCGACTTTGACTAGTTGTGCATGAACAATTCATTACCATAACCCTTTTATAAAATTAACACTAATTGTATTCATGAAAGTATCTTTAATAATCCATAAATAATAATAATAATAATAATAATAATAATAATAAGGTAGTAGTCTAGTACGTAGGTAGTAGTAGTAGCAAAAATATCAACAGTAACAACTACAATACTAACAACAACAACAACAACAATAAGAATTGAAGAAGAAGAAGAAGAAGTAGTAGTAGTAGTGGTAGTAGTAGTACGTTGCATAGGTGTAGTAGTAGTAATAGTAGTTGAGAGTAGGAGAAAGGAGAAGGAAAGTAAGAAGAGAAGTAGGAGATGTGATGAAAATAGCTCATGTTCCATGGCTATTTATAACCCCAACTCAGGCACTATTCCAACCGATTTCATAAATGCTTGCCAACCTAATTAATGCGGCCAACCTAATAAATGTTGTTGGCCTAATAATTGCAGCTGGCCCAATAAATGTTGCTGACCCAATAAATGTAGTCGGCCTAATAAATGTTATGAATATGAGTAGTATTAATATAAGGGTTGACTTTGATTACGGAAGGAGGAATAATTTGGTACTTGTTAGTTTGACTCGGAAGCAAAATACTGGAGGTTGAAATTCCGACAACTTTGAGTTGAATCATATAATTATAAAGCGTAATAAAATTATATCTTTGTAAAATCATATATGGACTTAAATAGATATTGTTTTTGTATAATAAAATATTTCAGAAAAATCCATAATTAATAATTAGTAAATGGCTTAAAAATACGGGGTATTACAAAATCACCCAAAACACTTCCTGGTCGGGACAGATAAACCACCATTAGCAATGCCTAAGACCCAATGCACTTGATTAGTAGATAACCTAAATTGTTTCCCATCAGGTGCAATAAGCACATTATGCACAGGATCTGTTCGACTCATTATCCAATATACCCAACTGCCGAGGTAAGTGTATTTCACTTGAAGGTGTTAACAACCCATCCAAACCCATTTCATTAACCCAGCATATCCTTCTATCATAAAAAGTATGACATATTCTAGAAAAGATCTCAATACGGCAATTCATATTCGGTGGCTACAAAATTAAGATAACAGATATAATTACTAAAATTAGTTCACCTTCTAAAGTTCAAAGATAAAAATGAAAAACAAGACACTAACTTAAAACTTACCCTCCCATACATTTCAACTTGCTGCTTAATAACCTCACCCTTTCTCTTCACTTGACCACCAACGCTAATAGAATCATCTTTGATAAGATTAACATCATCAATTTGAAATGGATCGTTTTAAATTTGAATTGGGTTCAAATAAGCTAATCAAATCAATACAATATCTATCAATAGCCATACCATAAACAATTAGTTCAGAGACTTTAACTTGAGGACTTGCTGAATGAGTCCTAACCTGTACAGATAAAAATTGCACAAATCCACTTTTCACTAACCAATTGACTACACTTAACACATTTTCAATTGGAATTGAACACCAAAACTATTATAATTTATTGTTCTTGGAATCTCACGAAGAGTTTTTGAGAATTTTTGCATTATCTCCAATTGAGAACCTATAATCATTCCAAAGTTAATACACTACATCATAAAACCCGTTATTATGATCTGCTTAGGATTATTCAGCTTAGCATTTCAGCACTTCATCGGTTGAGCAATTCAGCAATTTAATAATCAAATAATTCAACAATAGAGCATTTTAGAAATTTAGCAAACCAACGGAGCAATTCAGCAATTGAGCATTTCACCAATTTAAGAAGGTCAGAGATGGATGAGTATTTGGGACAGGCCGGTATTCTTAGGAAGTAATAATTTAGGAAGGGCAGAGATGGACGAGTTTCCAGAAAGGGATGTAGTAGAGGATGAAATAGAGGGGTGTGATCAGATAGGGGCATTGATTGAAATATTCCCTAGTGGTGAAGATGATGAGGTTGTTAATACAGAAAAGCTGGACAACATTTCTCTTACACCAATGGGGGAGACCTCTTCCCCAATTAGGCCAATTCAGACCATTCAGACCCCTAAAACTATTTCAAAAAATAAGGTATCTGTAATGACCTCTGTTGAACCTCCAAAAGTTGGAATGGTGTTCAATGGTTGGCAAGAAATAGAGGAATATTATAAATCATACGCAGAGCAATGTTAGCAGAGGTTCAAAGTGCATTTACGAACGCGTTTTTGAGAATTTTCACAATATCTCCAATTGAGAACCTGGAATCATTTCCAAAATTAATACACTACATCATAAAACCCATTATTATGATAAGCTTAGGATTATTCAGCTTAGCATTTCATCACTTCATCAGTTGAGCAATTCAGCAATTTAGTAATCAAGAAATTCAACAATAGAGCATTTTAGAAATTTAGCAAACCAACAGAGCAATTCAGCAATTGAGCATTTCACCAATTTAAGAAGGTTAGAGATGGATGAGTATTTGGGACAGGTCGGTATTCTTAGGAAGTAATTTAGGAAGGGCAGATATGGACGAGTTTTTAGAAAGGTATGTAGTAGAGGATGAAATAGAGTGGTGTGATCAGATAGGGGCATTGATTGAAATATGCCCTACTGGTGAAGATGATGAGTTTGTAAATACAGACAAGCTGGACAACATTTCTCTTACACCAATGGGGGAGACCTCTTTCCCAATTAGGCCAATTCATACAATTCAAACCCCTAAAACTATTTCAAAAAATAAGGTATCTGTAATGACCTCTGTTGAACCTCCAAAAGTTGGAATGGTGTTCAATGGTTGGCAAGAAATAGAGGAATATTATAAATCATACGCAGAGAAATGTGGCTTTAGAGTTAGCAGGGGTTTAAAGTGCATTTACAAACGAGTTTTTGAGAATTTTTGCATTATCTCCAATTGAGAACCTGGAATCATTTCCAAAATTAATACATTACATCATAAACCAGTTATTATGACCAGCTTAGGATTATTCAACTTAGCATTTCAGCACCTCATCAATTGAGCAATTCAACAATTCAAAAATCAAGCAATTCAACAATACAACGGAGGAATTCAACAATTGAGCATTTTAGAAATTGAGCATTTTAGCAATTGAGTTCTAGAAGAAATTGAGCAAACTAGCAGAGCAATTCAGCAATTGAACAGAGTTAAAACAACATGCTACTCATTGACATAAAGTTCATCTCAAACAACATGTACATACCTAATAGCCTTAAATACACACCTCAATAGCGAAGAACTACTAACCACAACACAACGAACAACTCAAGCACATCGAATAGCTCAAGCACAAATCAAGCATGGGTTTCGATATCGCGAAACCTCAGTCACTACTTAACAAAAGAATGTTAACAACATTGCGAGCTCATAATCAGTGGAAGGAAGCCGAAATCATCCTACGCCATGTAGATTCAAGTATCGCCCTTGCCTTTTCTCGCTCCTAGGGTTTCGATTTCTCAGTTTCTCCCTCGTATTTTCGTTGCTTTCCACTTTACTTACACCGTTAGTCCGTTAGTGTAAGTTAATGCTGTAATTACATCTACACCCCTATACTTTATGTCGTGTTGACGATATATATATATATATATATATATATATATATATTTATATATATATATTGTACTTTGGTATGGGGCGATGACCGCCTATACTAGATAGTGGCATATACTCCCCCCATTAGGATTTTTGATTCAATTATTATATACTAGTTTTGTGCCCCGTGCGATGCCCGGGTTGTTTATGGACTTTTAAGATAAAATTATATTATGATTCAATTTAATTGAAAATAGAATTCTTAATTAACCTTTTTTTGCCACAAAGTCTATCTATATTTATCCAATGTGGTACGACACTTGGTGCGTGAAAAATTAAAACGCTAAATGATGTTGTCTTGTGGCCTAATTATAAGTTTATTATTTTGTATTTTATTGAAAACAAAACTCTAAACTAACAATCTTATTCTAAATTAACTTTTTATCTTATGAAATCTATCCAAATATATCTAGGGTGGTGCGACACTTGGCGATTTTTATGTATAAAGTCTATTAAAATCTATCTAAGGTGGCGCGACACTTGACGAAAAGTTGAAAAGCCAAATGTCGCTATTTCGTGACCTGGCTAAAAGTTTTGCTTTATATATTAGTTATTATATGATTCATTAGAGCTAAATCTCTTAGTAGATGTCATATGAATTTATTTATGAATTAAAAAAAAAAAAAAAAAAAAAAAAAGGATTTTGATGTATATAACCTCACGCCCTTGCCTGGCTAGTGACTCTGCTCCCCTCTCTCTCAGTTCTCTATTGAAGCGTACTCAACATCGCACTTCACATTCTCCATCGAATACTTGTATCCTCCATTGAAGCAGCTTCTGAGGTAAGTTGTTGTTTCTCTTAAAGTCATCATGTCAATTTCACAATCTAGGGTTCATCTTTGATACTGTATAATTTAATTTAATTGTCAGTGCAGTAATTTAATTCGGATTGGTACCCAAAATTGTTAATCGAACCAACTAATTGACAGGCCGCAATAATGGGTATTGATCGAAAATCCAAGGATAAAACTAGAAAAAGAAGTGCAGATCAAGGTTTTCTCTTCCTGAATTATTGTTTTACACTCTTAATTAATTACTTTTCTGTTGATATTTGCAATTTTAAGGTAATTTGTGTTGTTGTTGATGTTGTTATTCTGCAGATGAAGGTCATGGCAAACGGCACAAAAAATCAGATGATTATGACAAAGGTAACAAGAAAAGAGACAAATCCCGTCACAGCAAATCTGACAGGCATTCTAAACGTCATTCTGGAAAAGGTTAGAACCATCTAGCATTGTTTAATTTTTCTCTCGTAAAATTTATGCCATGTTATTGTGTATAATTATTTGTTTCATGAATTGTGCAATTGCTGAATTTTCTTGTAAGGGTCGATATGATTATTACTCCGTAGTTGTTTGCGAAGTTAATGAGTGTGGTACCTCAAAATCATATTTCCCTAAAGTATGACATCCTACCAAAGGAAAAGGAAGGACCTCAAAGAAAAAAAATCGTGGAAACATACTTGATTACGATACATGGGCGCAAGCGCATCATTATGTCTTGTTCAATTGTCATTGTGAGGAAGTTGAGAAATATATAAGGTAAGATTTGTAACCTGTAGACACCTAAAAATGTCTCCCCAAAACCAAACCCGATGATGAACAACCTTTCACCGCCACTATTAGTCGGGTTCAGTATTTAATCCCGAGAGTGCTTAAAAATCGTATTTAATTAAATTCGTATTTTTTAATAATCCATGGATCAGTCTTAATGTTTGGTCAAAGCATAGTTTTAATTTCAGCCCAAACTTATTATTTAATTTTAGCCCAAACCTTTTTTTATTTTATTGTTTTATTATTTATTTTGGCCCAAACTTTTAATTTATTTTATTTATTTTAGCCCAAATAATAATAAAATTAGAAAATGGCCCGAAATTATCAATCGGCACTTAAAATGCTGAACGAAATTAGGGTTAAAAATTAATTTAGACGGAAAAGCGGGCTGAAAATTCCCGCGTCACAGCAACAGTCCACCGTGTCACGAGAGTCTTTCCCGGCTGACGGTGGGATTTCCAGTGACACTGGAAATCTTCTGTGACACGGGAATCTCCGTGTCCTTTTCGCGTAAACCCTTAACGCGATTTCTCCCCCGTTCATTAAATATTTCCCATGTCACACAAAATGTGCACCGTGTCATGGGATTGTTTCCCGTGTGACGGTGGGATTTCCCGTGTCACGGTACACTTTACAGTGTCGCGGGATACTTTTTTAGGGTTATTATCATTTTAACCAATTGAGCTTAATAATAGTTTGGAGTGAATTGAATCTTTGTTTGTATGCCTTTGAGATCGCAGGAATCACTTTTCACTATAAGAATCGAGTAGAGGCCAATACGGGAAAATGTGACTCCATGACTCACTTCGTACCATCATCCCCAATCCTCCTTTCGTGGTTCCGAACCATATGGAGTTAGTAATCTCATGGATTATGAATGGGGTGTAACCTTCACAAGTCAATCGTTATTTGTTGCCTATCGTTGTCCCTTATCGTGGTTGCCTTTTTATGATCCGTGAACGGTTTACAAGTTCCTTAAAAACTTGTTGGCGGCTCCCTACTTTATTTGTCCCTAATCGTATTATGTCAATTCCCACTTCCTATGAGTGCCAAGCATATTCACACATGCATTTAACGTAGGCGCACTTCGAACGTCGCCTACAATTTGGCGACTCCAATGGGGAGGATTCTTGGTTATTTATCGATTTGAGTGATCGGTATTTAATTAAGATGAGTGGATGAGACTTGAAAGATTCTTGAAAAATATTCCTGTGATCAATTTGGCATTTTTGCATAAGCATAGACGTTTTAACGTTGCATTTAGGTCTGTCTCGTAGGAGAAATTGAATAACTCGATTCCGTACGAAGGAAAACTGGGCACTAGTCAGATTTTCTGACTGTCAGCGTCTGACGGTGTGCAGTACCGTGGCACGGGAATCTCTGCCGTGTCACGGCAGTCCTAAAATCAGTCCAGTGGCTTGTTTTCTCTTTTCACAGTCAACTTCCTTCGATTTTTCTGAAAAAACGTGTGTGTTCTACATGCGTCTTAGCCCCGGGGGATTTAAGCTCTATCAACCCAAAAACGCTCATGGCAATAAAGGTTCATCCAAGTTATTAAATCCACCCAAACATGGAGTCGACTTCGATTTCATCACGAACTCGCGGAGCCGCCCGTTGGCATACACCCTCAAGGGAGGCTGCCTTGCTAACGCGTCCAAAATCTTAACCATGGTACCCTATTGACACCAAATAAACCTGACCATAGTCGAACATAGAACTTGACCATAGGTTGCGAACTATTCTTTGCATCATTGTGCCTACGTGTTTTATGCTTGGTCGTTTCGATCCTAACCTTAACGATCTTTCTTTGTCTATGTTGGATTATTTTATGACTAACAATTGCCAATGGACCGTACTCATTTAGTAATTAGCGCAAAAAAAAATAATAAAAAAATTCTCGTGCCACGTTAGCATCCACCGTGTCAAGGCAGTTTCCATCGTGGCACGGTGGAATTCCAGCAAAAAAAAAGGAAAAAAACCCGTGTCATAGTGTACTTTCCCGTGACACGTCAACATCCACCATGCCATGGGAAAGTTCACCGTGTCACGGCAGTTTCCACCATGGCACGGTGAAATTCCTGCAAAAAAAAAAAAAACGAAAAAATTTCGTGTCACGGTGTACTTTCCCGTGACACGTCAGCATCCGCCGTGCCACTGGAAAGTTCATCGTGTCACGGCAGTTTCCACCATGGCACGGTGGAATTCCAGCGAAAAAAAAACCACCGCGTCACGGCATCTTGTAACGTGACACGGTACAGTTTTCCGTGTCACAGTGCCCTTGAAATAAGTCCAGTCAGCTTTTTTCTAGTCTTCCGTGTTAATTTGGTCCTCGCGTCAGTCATTTTTGTTATTGTTCACATGTCTACCCATACGATCATACCACGAGTCTAATAACATCACTTAGTCACTCACGAGTCAAGTATAGTCCACATACTTTCTTTATGTTCCGACTCGAGTCGTGCACCAAGTCGTTTATGATCGTATACTAGGTTCATGCACCCTTTTTTCGTCATAATAAAAATTGACTGGAGTTTTCTCACTTGTTTTCAAATGTCTGTTTTTTTTCCTTCCTTTCCTATCTTGAGCAATGAGTCAAACAATTAAGTCAATTATTTTATTTCACAGTACTTGGTCAAGGAACAGGGATAGATTAATACAGTTCGAGTCATTACCGCAACAATCTATCAGATCTATTAGGCTTTCAAAGAGAACTTTGCCATATCCACATTACTTATCACCTTTCAATGACCACTAAAGAAGATATTGAGAACATCAACAAATCCATCGAGGCACTGTCTACCATGATGCAAACCCTTACCACTAGGGTCACTACCATGGAACAAAACAAGGTCACTTTTTCCACCCTTGACAAATTGAAGGAACAAATTAGTAAGATTTATGAGGATTTCACTTATGTGGAACGGCCTCCCACTCCTTTGGATGTGAAGGACAGACTCGCTGAAAAGTTCTCCACTACTGATATTCCAAAGTTCAAGCCTATTGACAATCCAATATTCCATTTGAAGGCGTTCTCTGCAACCATGGATCTTAAAGGATTGGACGTAACACTCTTCCCTACGATGTTCCCTCTCTCCTTAGAACATGCTTGCCAACACTGGTTTTATTCCTTAGACGCCAAGCATACAACGACTTGGCAAGATGTCACCGACAATTTCATGAATCGTTACAAGTGTAACATTCAAACTAAAACTTCTGAACGTGAACTCTCCATTCTCAAACAAAAAGAGAATGAAGGCTTCACCACTTACCTGAACAGGTGGAGGGAAACAGCTTCACTCTTGGTAGATCCTCCTAAAGAAAGAGAGATGGTTCGCCTCTTTATTCAAAATCTGACTCATAAATATAGGGAACATATCAAATTTCTTCCACTGAACACTTTCGAAGCTGTATACGACATCGGCATCAATATCGAGGATGATCTAATAAAGACTGCTGGTAGTAACAATAATAACACTTGGAAAAACAAGAAGAATGACCATCCTTCTTCTTCGTCTTCTAAGCACGAAAATACTACCAACAATATAAGCCAAGTTGATATCAATGAAGTGTTAGCTCTTGATGCCCCATTGCCCAAGAAGAAAAGAACTTACACTCCTTTAGGAATGACTTATGATGCGGCCTTTGATCGCCTTTACGGTCAAGGCTTGATCACACCTATTGGGCCATTTCCAGAGCCAAAACCTGAAGAAAGGAGCGCCAAATGGAATCCCAATGCCCATTGCAAGTACCATCAAGGAAGGGGCCACAATACGGAGCAATGTTGTAATTTGAAGGACGTCATTCAAGACTTAGTGGATGCAAACAAACTTCCTATCCCTCCAGGCGGCAAGAAGTAATGAACACAAGGCGCACAGCAGATCCTTCGTGCAAGATTTCATGATTTCTTTCTTTATCATTCATCTCAATTCCCCCATTCATGTCTAGCATAGGTTTTCCATTTTGAGTTTTTATATGTTTCATGTGTTTCGTTCACCTTTTCCATTAAAAAAATGAGCAAATTTCCTTTACATCTCGATCGTAGAATTTTTCATTCATTCATTCATTCTCAAATAACTAAAAAAAATAATAAAAAAAATCAATTACCGAACTAAACCCAAGATACACCAATGACTTGAGGCATCTTTGCAACCCTGTCATTCCCTATTAACCGTTCAATCACATTCCATTTCTTCATCAACCATTTTGAGCCTCGTATAACGTTTGGCCTTCATTTCTTCAACCCATATTCACTTAACCCTAGGATTGGAAGATGTGTAATTGTATAACATTCAAAAAGCAAGTAAAAAAAAGCAAATAAAAAAAGCAGCAAAGCAACAATAAAACAATGTCTAAAGGCAAGTGTTCCAATGTCTTTGATACGAACACGTCTCGAATTGCGTCTCTCATCGAGTGCTCGGTACCGTGCTTGAGAAACATGAATGCTAAGTGATGAGTAACATTTATGTCACTCTTAGGGATTAGTTTTAGAGCTATTTTCGTGTTTATTTTCCCTTATTTTCCCTTTTATTCTTTTGTTTTCTCTTTAATAACATTTCTTGTTTATTTGGTAATCTTGTCGTGTTTTAGTTCTTTTCGGAGTTTTTATTAGAATTAGTTTATTTTTGTATTTTATTTATTTTTGATTTATTTTATTCCATTCCTTT